AACAAAGTATGTCGAAGTCAAGCCAGTTGTCTTTAATGTATGAATTTTTGTTTCGCACGATTCTAATATTTTGACTGTATATCGATAAACAGTTAGTTCGCGATTCACTTTTAGGACCGGCATTACTTTCAACGTCTCCGCTTATTATCAGTAATTGTAACAAGATAGTGCCAATTATAAAACTTAGCCAGTGTAAGTCAAAATTAGAATCACAACCTTGAAAGTTTCAAAAGCTGAATGATTTCTCGTCCGTCACATACTGATCTGTACAAACAGGTAATTACAATCATAAAAACATATAATAAAGTTATTTGCTTAAAGTTGCCTAAAATTGATTTCTTGATGAATACATATATGATTTACACATATTCATAGTGCCCTGTAAACCGTTATAAAACAATTTTATCGCCACCCGCCATGCCTTTAAACTATTACCTATTTGGGTAACACATACATACAACAATAAATATGACGAGTGGCGACAGAAATATTATATAAACATTAACGACAGTTAACATACATGGATTGGAAAATATGGCAACCTGTAGAATCAAAGCACAGAAGGTGCTGAATTTGTTTGGGTCTCAGAATGTCAGAAAGGTGAAGGTTGTATGATTATAAACCAATTTCTTTGTAAAGTGTCACTAATGCTGTTTCGAGTGTTATAACTATAGTAAATTGGCTATAAGACTAAATTCAATTCAATGTTTATTTTGCTTAAACAATTAAAAAAAGTTGCCTAAACTGGGATTTGAACTCCAGACCTCTCGCTTCCAAACCACGGGGAGTTATAATATAACAGCCTGAAGAATACCATATTATTCTAAATTAGAGTTTGTAACCCTTATTAATTTCGATATATTTTGTTCACGGTAAACATGTTGTTTAACACTGAAGTGAATAATCATGGAGCTGAATGTATATCTACAAAAATAACACAATATTTGAAATCTTCGACCAATCGGGAACTATTTTTTCGTTACGAAAATTAATGCGCCTGTCATTTGACAATCTTTACGCAGTGATTTCCCCTTAATGTTTCGGCGTTAATGTACTTATGAAGGGAAGTAACCTCTTCGAGGAGTTTGGACTACTTTCGGCATTTGCAAATAAGAACATCTGGTTCTGAAATTTCGCTACCATTATTTGACTGGTATGACGACCCAAACAAATAAAAATGGATCGCAAAATAAAAAAAAGATTTTAAAAAGTAACAAGTTAAAAAGTGTGGTTATCATATATAACTACCATAGCGATATCTGTAATATAATGGGTAAGAAAAGCGACTCGTATTAACTGAGATAAAGCATGCTTTACTATGTAAAAACACAAACTTACTGTTATATGACCAATGATTAAGTTTTCAGAAGAGATACATCAAAACCGGTGAAAAACGTGCCCTAAACATGTCTAAAGGTACGCGACCTTCATATACTTAATAATCTATGAAATTAAAAAGAAAATGAATAAAAATACAACATACATAACATATTTACAAAGTATAACTACAGAATTTATACATTTATTTACATGGGATGAGAAAATACTTTAATTCTTTTGTTGTTACACTAAAATAAGCAATAGGGATTGAATACAGTAGTAGAATGAATTGCATCAACCAAAATTGTGTAAAAGCTGTGACAATATACTGGTTTAGCGCCATTTTTCTAACTTTTCCGCGACATAAGAACGATGAACTTTGTTAAAATATAATTGCCAAATATTTTAAAAAGATTGATCAAATTTACATTTTTTTGTAAAGTGCAACACGTTTTCCAAAACTTGGCTATAGTAACAGTTTATATACTTTATATTGACAAATTTGCAGATTTAACATCTTTGATTATTTCTTTTAAAGCAGCATGGCTCCAGATTCGTGTTAATTTTCATGAAAATTTTGAAAATGTATTTAAGAGTAAAATATCGTAAGATATTGCGCAGGTAACAAAGAAAATAGTTTACGCATTGCAAACGACACGTACGATCCACGTAAATTATATAAAAGAATCAGATCAGAATATGCAATATAGTCACGCAGTAGAAATAAGGTGATACATTTGTAAATACCGTAAAATCAGTTATTAATCGCATACAACATGTAAATTATTACTTGAATATTGAATCTGTTGATTTTTGGCCAGGTTGCACAGGTGAAGGGTTATAGTATGGTGAATGTTTGCCGACTTAGTTAAATTTTCGACATTATGTTTAATGGTAGGAAATTTTCGTAACAGTTTCTCAGCATCTACTTATAACAGCCTTTAGATTTTCGGTCTACAGCATCAACATATGGTCCCATTCTGTGGGATTCAATTTCAGGTCTGTCGCTCATCCACTTCCTGTTTGCCGACTTAGTTAAATTTTTAACATTAATGGTAGGAAATTTTCGTAACAGTTTTCTCAGCCTACTTATCACAGCCTTTTGATATTTTGTATACAGTATCAACACGTGATCCAATACCGCGGGATTCAATTTCAGGTCTGTCGCTCAGCCACTTCCTGTTTGCCGATTTAGTTTAATTTTCGATATTAGAGGTCAATGGAAGGAAAATTCCGTTTTATCAGCAACTACAATCATGAGGTTGTGATGCTACGAAAATATACTACCACTGACCATTACTGTCGAACATTTTACTTAGTCAGTAAACAGCCACAGCCCATGTACAAGTTTGCTCAAAACATTTCATCTATATATAATTATATATCCTTTGAACAAAGCATACACCACGTAAGTTCTATTTGTATTTTGGACTACTGATAAAAAAATGGAAATAAATAATTTTATTTCCCGCTGCACGATCTTGTATATCCGTGTTATATTCTATTCGCTTTTACTTTTCAAAATCGCAGACAGGTTCAAATCTGTGGTTGTCTAGAAGTATTTCGGGTAAACTTAAGGGAATTAAGGGACGGACTGACAAAGCGGAAACAATAAGCATTCCATTTCTTTCCTGTTATTTTCTAAAGTAACTATTTCTTAAATTATTAAATATTATTATATCAACTTTGAAAAGTTTGTAAGAAGACTGAAAATTAATTGCATAGTGAAAGTCGAAAACATACTAAAAAAATCCATACGTGCAGCTATATTGATTAAATCTTAATCATTTGCATTGGTCAGGATAAAGTCCGACTAGAGGGTTTTCTAGGTTTATATGTTTTAATTGGATCGTCGGTCTTTTCGTGTGCGACATAACGTTTTATATAGCATCCCTATTTCCTGTTTGAATTGTATGTCAAAGCAGCTGTATATAAAACAGTTTACCATGCTGTTGATAAATACACAGGTCTGTACAATGTGTAATGCAATATAAGAATCTTTACTGAGGTCTGAGGAGGACATTTCTATCTGTATTAGAAAGATGCCCGCAGATAGAAATGGAATATAGCTAATACAAAAGAACACAGTCACTAATATAAAAGCTAGTGTTATTTTTCTTATTCTGTTCCTTTTCTGGTGATTGTCATTCGTTGTCTCTGTTTTGATTTGGTTGACTGAGCAGGTGGCTAAAGTCTCGCTGTTATCTCTTGTCTTGCCCTCAATGTTATCTTGATTATATCCGACTTCTGGCGAATCAATTGTCTTTGTACATGAAGTCGATAGTTCTTTATGTCTATTTAAAACATTTAGTTTTATATGCTTCAAACCTGTTACACCACTTTTGTGAACATCACCAAAGCTTTCTTTGGCGTGTAATCCTGATGCTGCTTTTAAAATGCATGCATACAGAGATACCAAAGCGCATAAAGACACAAACGTCATTAGTGCAATAAATATAAGCTGATATAGGGCATATTGTATGGTCCCTTCAACTCTAACGCACACTGTAAATGTTTTATTTTCCAAGGATTGTGTCCTTACCTCCTTAAATGCAAGTAATGGACACGAACAAACACAGGCAGATATCGCAGCAATAAAGCAAAACAGTTTAGCAACTCTATTTTTTATCTGCCATCCATGTGGCCGGCATACCTTTCTATACCTGAAATGAAAACAGAAATAAAGACTATGTATTAGTAATAAAAAGGAGAAAAGAAAGCCGACCACGGTGAAATTGAAAAGGTTGCAGGCTCGGTTTGATTGAGCCTGTTCATGGACTGTAATGGAATGTGCAAGTTACCGTCCACACCTTCTAGCACTGGCAAAAGCAGATTCAACATTAAAATTTTGAAACATCATGAACGATGTGTTCATATGACGGTTATCAGTGACACGTTAGTGCCATTCCATGAAAAGCGGCAAGTAGCACATGGGTCTCTTTAGCGTTACGCACCGCGCATGCACCATTATCTCGGATAAGAGTCACTTCCGACGGCTATTTTTCATACGGGGCGCGAAAATGTGTGAGCGGCAGCCATCTTGGACTCTGATTTTAACGAATGACATCATATATCCTACAGAGCTGACTTAGAGCTTGTCCGTGTCCATTGGAGGTCAGTGACCCTGCTCAAGACGGGAAAATTGCGGTTTTTACGCACGAGTGATTTTACATACGATCGATCATAAGCGTTTGATAGAACGTCCAAAGACATTTCGGTTGATACCCAACTTAACTATGTTACCACCGTTTGTAAGGAAGATATCGACAATATTCTACACAAACGATTTTTGTTCTCTTACATCTGTTGTGCAGCAGAAAAATGATAAAATTCTTTAAGAAAAAAAAATGAATAAATATGCATGATGATTTTCCTTTAAACACAAATATTTATAAATATAATCATTTTCTAAAAGGTTAAATTTTCATGTGTGAAATTTCAAATATGTTAAGTTAGAAAGTATTATATGTTTTAATAACAGATGTCAAATTTATAATTATGTAACCGGAAGATTAAATATGGCTTTTCCTCTTTGTCCAATCAACTGTGCTAAAAGTTTTCATTATATATAGGTGATAATAAAAGTCAATTAAGCTGTCGTTACGTAATTACTTGTTAAACCTTATGACTGATGAAATATCCATGTGATGATTGTTCTTAAGTAACATTATAAAATCCATGTTGCTATGTTACCTTATTTTGTATTGAAACCTGATTGGTCATTTTGTTATTTAAGACACAAAAATGTTAAAAGTCTATTTGTCAGTTTTGTTTAATTAAATTTTCATCACTGTGCACGTTTATAAAGATATTCAAAATTTCTGGAAAAAAAATAGAAATGTGTCGTCACGCCACGGATGCCCCACTCGCATGCAGCCAAAATTTCAGATGTTACATGTATAATATTTAGTTCCAAATTTGTTTGCACATATTATTTTTTTCATTTTAGGTTCAAAGCCCTTAAAACTATTCAATGTTAATACAAACCATTTTTATACAAAGTTCAAGGCACTGAAACTATTCAGTGTTAACCTTTTGTAAATTGCATATTGCAATGTTGTAGTCAAAATAATGGCTACATACATTTCCACAAAAGTATGAGTGCTGAAATTGAAATTCAAAATTTTTTCAACATTCAAGAAAGATAACTTTGTTCAAAATCATTTAACCACGACCAAATTCAATCTTGAACTGCTTATTCCTAGGATGTATCCATATGTCAAATTTGAGTTGAATGTGTAAAACCCTAGAGGAGATAATGAACGGAAACTTAAAATTTCATTTATTTTTTCAAAGTGAAATGGACATAACTCTACCATAAATCATTGAACCATGACCAAATTCTAACTTGACCTGCGTATTCCTTTGACACATCCATTTGTCAAGTTTGAGTTGAATTTGTAACACCGTTGGGGAGATAATGAACGGAAACTGAAAATTTCATTTTATTTTCAAAGTAAAAGGGGCATAACTCTGACCAAATTGGAACTTGACCTGTATTTTCTCATGACATATCCATATTCCAAATTTGAGTTGAATGTGTTTAACCGTTACTAAGATAATGAACGGAAACTGATGATGTCGGAGGAAGGACGGAATGACGGAACAGAATAACACTATATGCCCCTGACATTTTATGGCGGGAGCATAAAAACGGCGACAAATTTTAAACTCTTACTTTTTATTAAAGGGAAGTAACGTTATGAATAACGGATATTGTTGTGTACACTTATGTCCCTTTACGACTTGTTAAATGTTTATGGTACTAGTATATCCGTTCCTGATTTTACTTAGAATAATAACTAATATGAACAGAAATGCATTTTAGATAATTTACTTTGTATAGATGTGTAATCGATTATAAGTCGATCCATCTTTAATAGATTAATACAGCGTGGTAAAGATTTAACACGTTTAATAAATCGGTCTGTCGAATAATATTGAAACGATCATTTGAAACAAATTTTATGGATTTATTTTACGTGTTTGTTAATATTAAGAAATAAATAATGGCTTAGTGGTCATTGGCACACGACTCCGATAAACGATTTCTGTTAAATGAACCATATTTGTATGAAAACAAAAGCCTCATTATTTTCAGAAATTATTCACAGACATTACCGTAATTACTAAACCATAGGAGATATGAAATAAATTTGTTTCTTAATCATAAAAATGAAGCATTCAGAGAATGAATGAATTTCATATCGATTTGCGAGTAGCTAATTATTTTTATGACCAATACAAATTGATCATGCACGGATATTCTATTTTAGTTGTCGCATGACTGTTGATGCTCCTTAACAAATCTGGAAATTAATTCGTTTATGACAGACAGATATCTTTATTCACTCAAGCACATATGTAAGTACAAGATGAGGATTTCCTAACATAATGAATATAAAACATTAGTTTTCCAGCAGTAAAAATACATAATTTTACACACTTTCTTTTTTATGTATTCATTTTGGTTAATTATTAAAGTTCGTTTTCTTCTTAAACTAAAACTGTATAATTAATATTTAAACTGTACTGAGGCGTATCTTTATGACTAGCGACAATAAAAGGTAATGTTTACTATTTTTATATACAAATTTGAAAAACGTTATCAATAATTATAATTATTCAGTAATTGAACAATTTTAAATTAATAAATACGTTATATGGGGAATTTTAATAACAACTCGCTTTGCATGCGTTAAAAATCCTGATCAACCGATAATATAAAATGAACTTAAACATAGCTTTAAATAAAGAATGATGAAAAAGAGCTTGATTTGAATGTTTAAAACCAGCTACCGTATAAGTACTTTTTTCTGCGGGAACTTTTTTTCTGCTATTTTTGCGGTTCTTAAGGACACCACAGATTAAAAAAACCGCTGAAAATTAAGCCATTCACTATGTCTATGTCGGAATATGTCAACTACCGGTATTGTATTATTACATTACCATGTACCGTACGTTATCGGTTTTGTAGATGGGAAGTTTTCTTGTATGTCCGTCCTGAATATAATATTAGAAAAAAATGTTACTTTACTTGTTCTTTTTGTTTAAATAAATATCATGAAATATATAGAAATAGTTTATTTCGGTAACTTATACATTTACAGTATCTCGTTACATACAATAATTACAAATATAATAATTATGTGGTCACATGACAAAGGCAAAGAAAAAAATAATAAGAAGAATATAAAAAGTTTTAACTGATGACATTCTAACGGAGAACAGACAGCTGCAAATAAAGGAACAAAAAGCATCACAATTTCATTATCATTCATAGAAATAAAAAGTTCCAGTAAGAAGAAAAACACCAACAACAGAAAAGACGTGACAATAACAGCGTCAAAAGTATAATATTACATCTATCTTTTTAAACGATAATAAGGGTAATAAGTTGAACCAATTAACATTTCAAAATGTGTTATGGATTAACAACGGATAGTAACAATTCTTGTCGCTTTTTATTAGCTACATCTATATATTTTCCTAAATTAACAAGTATAACTTTATTATCTGATTGTAGTAAATCTTCTAATTTATACATAGAAGGTCTAATATAGTAATAACGCTTGATAAATCTTCTTCGAATATCTTGATAACATGGACAAACTAAAATAAAATGATATTCATCTTCAATTTCTGGTAAGTTACATAATTGGCATAATCTTTCATTTCTTTGTGTTCTATTACGTCCGTATCTACCGGTTTCAATCCTTAAGTTATGAGCAGATATTCTAATTCTACAAATATTCATACGTATACCTTTACAATAAATATTTCTTAAATAAGGTTCAATACAAAAGTCTTTTTTGATATAACTATACAAAGTGTTTAGTACAATATTGTTTTCTATGTCTGAATGCCATTTTTGCCTAAAACAATCAATAATTCTTTGCTTAAATTCAGATAAAAAGAAATCATGTGTGTATGTTTTTCGCTCACCCTAAGCTTGATTTTTTTTTGTAAAATAAAACTATTATAGTTTGACGCGTGCAATAAACAAACCCTTTTGTATTTGTACAATATCTTTCCTTGTTTATTTTTCACACTTCATATTTATACACATGCAGTATAACAATGAATTGTTGTAATTGCACGTTGTTAATCTTTGTTTATTAATGTTTATATACTGAGGAACTGAAAACGAGGCTCGGAAATATGGCGGTCTTTTGAATTTGTGTACAGAATTTTTTTCAAAATATCAAAAATAAAGGATTATAAAGTGTTATTTATAAAGTGATATTAGTAAACAGATTGTGTAATCATTAACAATGTCAAGTACAGGTAGCAATAAAAGAGGTAAAGCAACAAACTCTAGCAATCAAACACCAAACAAGGAGACCTGTGAAACGACGGGTGGGGTACTCGGAAAAGGTAACAAAGATAACAGAAGTTCAAATGAGCAAGTGTTAAATCAAGATTTATATTTACCGCCATGCTATCAGCCTTTGAACAGCCAACCATCCGAGCAATTTCCAAATGGACAATACAGGTATCCGTTCTTAATTCCACCCTTTCCCGCACCCCCGTATCCAGGATCGCAGACTTATCAGCATCTACAACCAGCTTCACCCCCGTCAACTGCAACTAACACTGACATGCAAACCAAACTAATAGAACTTGTCAACAAAATGGACTCACGTTTACAATCCATAGAGAA